AGTTTTATTTTTGAAAAACTTCTTTCAGCATTTGCGGTTGCAACTGGCAAATTGTATGCAAAAATTACTTCGGGAAAATTGTAAGCAAAAGTATTGATTTTTGGCAGCAATATAATAAATATTGAATTTCATATTTTAAACATATTTTTAGAGAGTTTATAATTGGTTATAAAAATTAACAGAGATGATCTGATCTTACTGTATTTAGACGAAAGTTTCATGAAGACAGGAGTTTTTCTAAATGACTCTAGTTGTAATTATTCGAACATACCAATTAAGTCAAAGTCTCTGATCTTTGTTCAGTTTGAGAAATTAATATGTACAATTAGCAATGGTACGAGGTCTGTTCAAAAAGTACCCGGAATTTTCGTTTTTTCAAAAAAATATTTATTTATTCGTCTACATTAATGTGGTCCCCTTCAAAGTAGTCCCCCCCAGATATAATACACTTATGCCAGCGTTTTTTCCAATTTTCGAAGCACCCTTGATATTCACTTTTTTATATGTCCTTGAGCACTCTCAGCGATTTTCTTCAATCGAGGAAAACCGCCGTCCTTTCATGGGTCTCTTCAACTTTGGGAATAGGAAAAAGTCACACGGAGCCATATCTGGTGAATTTTTGCACTTTGCAACACTTTATTTCATTTTTTACGCAAAATTTAATACAAATTCTTTGACTTTTCAATTCTTCCATTGTAAAAATCGCCGAGCTCAGAAAAACACGTCGAACCTTAGCGACTACCACAGACAAAGTAAACAGTGAATATAGCTGAAAATTTCATCATACTTTAGGGGCATGTATACCAACACAATAAAAAAAAAATTTTGACAATCAGACACTCCAGACCCGCGAAATTTAATTATTAGTAATTCCGGGTACTTTTTGAACACACCTCGTATATGTTGAGTTTGAAATAAGATTACAGGTTGCTATAATTTGCTTTTTGTTTTTGAAAACAGTCCTTTGCGTTCCATTCCTTTGCTAATTTTTCGAGACATTTAGCAAACTGCTGAATTAATTTTAACTTTTTAATTTGCACAAAATGCTAGTTTTCTATTCTATCGCGATTCGCAACCCTCTAAAGTTATATTTTTACATTCTACACGCTCATGTTTTATTCGAAATTAAATTTAGTTGCAATTCATGATTATTTTAACTTTTGTTATTTGTGAAATAAGATAAAAATTCGTAATATTCTATTAATATTACTACACTTTAAAATAATAATTTTACATTTCCCGCTTTCTTTTTTAATGACGTTAAATTTTATTGAACAAATTTTGCACGATTAATTCGCTTTTTGTGAAATATTTTTTAACTTCCCGTAGGGTAAGTTATTGTAATGGGCCGAAAATCGGAATTGAAAATTTTTACATTTCTCGACGTTTTGAAGGTTTCTGAACATTTTGGCATACCTTAGAAAATATGGATGTGTGTGTGTGTGTGTGTGAGTGTGTATGTATGTATGGATACAAATTTCCAGTCACGTTTCTGGGCGCACGGATCAACCGGTTTGAATGGTTCAAAAAACATTCGATTTCTATCGATAGGGAAAAGAACTGATTAGCTTTTGGCCAAGGCAGGCCCAGCCATTTCGAAGATACGGAGCTAAATATGTAAAAAATGCCAGTTTTTGAGAGAACTAAGCGTCCGATTTGAATGATTCAAAGAACTTTCTGCTTGTCTTAACAAAATAATTGATTCTGGAAAAAAAAATTGTTTCATTTTTTTTTTTTTAATTTTTTGTGTATCGAAAATAATTCAGATTTTATTTTCAATTCTGACTATAGTTCTAATATACTTTAAACAAATAATTTCAACTTTGCAATTCAGTTTAAATAATTCTTATAAATATTAGACAATGTTACAATATTTATAATAATCTATTTGAAAGCATTCAGTATTCCTCGAACATTTCGTTACGGTACGGGAAGTTCCAGCAATTTGCCTTAAAGCACGATGCCACCCACCCGACTATTTTTTATTAATGTTTGCTTACGGACGTTGGTGGCCCCCCAGGCCCGGGGGCCCTTTATTTTTGATACGGCTGATACGGCGGTAGTTACGTCCCTGGTGTCCACTTGTAACATTGGCGACCCACTGATTCATAATGGCAGCACTGTCGTATTTGGTGACAGTACCATCACTGTTATTTTTATTTATTCCATTTGTGAAATCTATAGATACGATATCCGAGTCGCAGAACATTTTGGCAATCGCGTTGAAGCGCTGCCTTGGCTGGATCATATGGGAAATGTAGATCCTGGTGTCGAAATCTAGATGGTAGGCAGGATTCTTGGCCTGGAGGAATAAATAGTAATGAAAATATAAATAATATTAACAACGTTTGAATGTATTCAGTGAATCTACAATTTTTCCTGCACGTTCCCCGTTGCTCTGGTAACTATCAGGAAGAAAGAATAGTCTCAAAATTTCCAACTTTTGTCTGATATTTTGGCCTGCAGTAATATAAATTTGATGAGAAATATATAATTATCTTTACAGGCATAAAAAAGCTAAAGTTATGCAACGTGTATTTAAACAAGATTTTAAATTTATGTATAGCATAGTATTACAGTGTGTATATATTTACTTGCGTTCTTATATATACCAAAAACTTTATAATGTTTGTGATGTGTATGTGTGTGTGTGTGTTTCGACATATATCTAGTATGATATTTTCACATTTCTAAAAATAAATTTTTAAATTTTCTATATTTTGAAAATGGGTTTTATTTTATTATGAACACCATTTAAGCTGTTTGAAGAATATTTTTATAATTAACAATTGTATACATAATTTTGAATTGTGTAGTTTATTATTATATATTATGATCGCAGTAAATTTAGATTTGGAACTTGTTTGATAAATGAAAATTTTGATTAAAGTTTTGTTTCATTGTAAAACTTATACTAACTGATCAAATCAATATGAAATCACATAGATTACTGTACCAATTTTTTTATAAAATTAATCTTAAGTAGTTATAAAATAATTAATTATTGAAATACACTTGTAAAAATTGTAATGATCAATTAAAATAATCATAAAATGTAAAAAGTAGTATTTATTATATGTTATTCATTTAATTGTTTTTCAACTTTGCAAAGGAGTGGTTTGTTTTCACTAGATAATTCAAATTGCTTATTTTGTGTTTTCTCACAGAATGTCATTTGATTTTGATTATTTAAAATAAACGAAATTTAAAGAAAAATGTAATATTAAACATTTTTTAAATTAATTTATATTTAACTTCCCGTAGGGCAAGTTATAGTAATCGCAAAAAAATCGAAAATGAAAATTTTTATATATCTTTACGTTTCAGAGGTTTCTGAACATTTTGGCATACCTTAGAAAAAATGGATGTATGTGTGTGTGTGTGTGTGTGTGTATGTATGTATGTATGTGTGTGTATGTATGTGCGGATACAAATTTTCGTCGACGATTTCGGGAACACGGATCAACCGATTTGAATAATTCAAAAAACATTCGATCCGTATTGATAAGGAGACGTGCTGATTAGTTTTTGGCAAAGGCAGGTCAAGCCGTTCCAAAGATACGGGGCAAAAAGTTCCGAAAACGGTAACTCAGTTTTTAAGAGAACGGAGCGTCCGATTTTAATAATTCAAAAAACATTTTATTTGTATTGACAAGATGAAGAATCGATACAACTTTCATGAAGGTAGGTCAAGCGGTTTCGGAGATATAGAGGAAAAAGTAAAAAAATGAGCCATTTGGCGATCAAAAATGATCATTAGACATATGCACAAATTATCAGACATTTTATAGAGATTTTAACAATAAGTATACATTTTGTTAACATTCCTATCGGTTCCGTACCAATGCTTATGCGTTAGACAGCGACGCGGCGCATACGCGCTTTATATTTTGTCCCTATGTAGTTAAAGCAGTACGATTGCTTTGAAAAAAAGTTCAGATCTTCCACAATATGTCAAAAAAAGAAAAAAAAAATTTCCAAAAAAAAAAAATTTTTTTAAAAAAAAAATTTTTTTTTACATTTTTTTTTTCAAAAAAAACTAATTTTTTGTCCAATTTATAGTTTCTCAAAAATCTTATTTTTTAAAAGTAATTTTTTTTCAAAAATGTTAATCGTTTTAAAAAAAAATAATAATTTTTGGTACGGGAAGTTCCAGCAATTTGCCTTAAGGCACGATGCCCTAATTGCCTTAAGACAGAATTCCACTTACAGCTAGTTTTCTTTTGACCTTGGTTTGATTTTATTATATTTCAGAATATTTAACCAACTCTACTCTCAATAAGTACACAGTAAGACTCTTTTGCGCTAACTTTGTTAGTTTACAAATGTTTTGTGGCTAGTTTGTATCATCATTAGTAATTTTATTGTAAACCAATAAGTTAAAACTTGAAAAAAAATTGTATGTTTGTATTTATATAATATTTACTGCTTCACGTGTTGCAGGAATGTAGAACTAAATTTTTTATCAAAATTTAAATGCAATTCCACTAAACTATTATGATTTTATTAGAAAATTGCTTTTGTTAATAAATTTCAAAATTATTCATATATATGAGTAATATATAAATAAAACAGTGAAAACTTGTCTGTATATTTAAAAATGTAAAAATATTTAACAAATTTTATACCTGAGAAAGGAAAAGCAAACAAGTGTACTGTAAAACACAGGTTAGTGAAAGAAAATAAAATTTATTCTACACCAAATTTATTTATTTCAATAACCAACGACTAATTCATTGCAGTGTAAATTTTTAGAGAGTTTATTAAAAGAATGGAATGTCGTTATTTAATTTATAAAACCGTTATTGTTAAAATTGAAGATTCAAATAACGTCGTTTCGATTTCAAAACAGAAGAGGCGTTCGAGTTTCTGAAACGCCATCTTCGACCGAGCGAACGTGCACGCTCTGCAGTCGCACGTCTACAAGTCTTTTGCACATCTATGCTTTGCGACGATAGGAGTTGGGAGAGGGAGTTGTCTATGGAGTTGTCATTGCTAGAGTTCATTTCCATCGTGGCGATTGCTGGAAGAACACAACCAGACGTCGTCGAACACGGACGAGCGGGCCTGACCCTTCGCTGCCTGTGGAGAACATGCGACCTGCGAGCGTCATATGGTACGTTGCACTTGTGCTAATTATATTTCTATTTGCGGATTCACTCGGATTTCATTTCGTGTTTTCGAGTTTTAAGATGTTTTAGATTTAATTAAAATCTTTTCTCATTGCTGTTTTTTTGTTTTGGAAAACGTGTGCTCGATTTATGTAGTTTTTGCTCAAGTCGTACTACTGTCTAAGACGTACGCCGGATACATTTTATCTAATTATTTTATTTTGCATCATTTGGTGCCCACTGTTAAATAAAACTACATACTATTATTTTGTTGACTGAACAAGAGTTCACAATTGAATGGCTGGCGGTCATTGTGCAGAAGAAATAATCGAAAGTGGTAGTAAAAAGTTGTGAAAGTAAAAAATGACTGATAATTCATTTTGAGAATTACTATGAGTACATTTATACGGATCGTTTAATTTGAAGTCTTATTTACATCATTACCATCTGCTAATTCACTTCAATTTATAGATCAGAAGTATTGTGTAAATTGGACCACAATCATCATGTCATTAAAAATTTTAAAGCAAAATTACTTTTCGATGAGAGCCATTTTTTATTTTCAATGCATAATTTTATTTCTTTTACTTGAAAAAAAGTTACAATTTGAACAACAAATTGACAAAGAATAGTTACAATTTGAATGGATATAAAGATGCAAATAAAGACTATTCTATGCTTCGCTGGAGCGCTGCATAGCACACGAAGACAACTTTGGTGACGCATCAACAATTACATTTAATAATGTATGTATAATCGACTAAATTCATAAATAATTTGTGTATTTTGCAGGTGCGGGTAGGTTTGCGTTTGCTGCTACCAGAGTCTTTCAGTTTTTATACGAACATTGTTACTGTGACGCTCTGAATGTGGTATTTATTGGAATTGCATTTGGCACGAATAGATTTATTAAGCGATGATTTTGTTCAAGATATTAATTGATCAATACTTTAGTTGTCACTATAACTTTTAGAAATTTAGAAAATCATTAATTGAATTTCATGATTCGAATGATCACGATATGTCTTGCATGTGGGTTAATTTATTAGTTGGGTAGCATCAGTAGTTTTATTATTAATAATAACAAATACTAATACACTAATCTATTTAACCATTGAAAAATAATGTGGTCGTTTGAATCATTTGAGATTATGCAATGTGGATTTGACATATTACATTAAATTATTGACATATTAAATTTTAATTTTCACTGTTTTCAATTAATTTTAATGCATTTCATATAAAACCAAGTGCAATTCTTAAACTGCTAGTAAATTTCTACATTCTATTTCTGATCATCAAGATAAAATCACATGGATATGGAGGCCACAAGATATCATATCAAGCAAATTGTTGAGTATCGAATGGCCAAGTATCGAATAAAATTGAATGCTGACTCACTTCACCGGGAATCGCTCTGAAAATAATTTAAAAAGTACGTTTTAATCCATAATCAGTATAAATGTGAACAATAAATAACATGTTTATTTTTTTTTCAGATACTTTCAACCACTGCTGCTCTGCTCACTGACCCCTTCACCAGGAATCGCTCTGAAAATAATTTAAAAAGTACGTTTTAATCCATAATCAGTATAAATGTGAACAATAAATAACATGTTTTTTTTCAGATACTTTCAACCACTGCTGCTCTGCTCACTGACCCCTTCACCAGGAATCGCTCTGAAAATAATTTAAAAAGTACGTTTTAATCCATAATCAGTATAAATGTGAACAATAAATAACATGCTTATTTTTTTTCAGGTCCTTTCAACCACTGCTGCTCTGCTCACTGACCCCTTCACCAGGAATCGCTCTGAAAATAATTTAAAAAGTACGTTTTTATCCATAATCAGTATAAATGTGAACAATAAATAACATGTTTATTTTTTTTCAAGGTCCTTGCAACTACTGCTCTGCACACTGACCCCTTCACGAGGAATCACTTTGAAAATAATCTAAAAAGTATGTTTTTATCCAAAATCAGTATAAATTTGAACAATAAAAAACATGTTCATTTTTTTTCAGGTCCTTACAACTACTGCTGCTCTGCACTCACTACTTCGCCAGGAATATTTCCAGAAACATTTTACCAGGTATGTGTTTATCCATACCAGCATAAATGGAAACATTCCTAAAATGTTTCTTTCTTTTTTGCAGATCTTCTCGATCCAACTATTACTGCCCTGAAGCTCTAACACGTGAATGACTCGCAAGTGGTTTTTTTTAATAACTGCCTATAATTATGCACGATTAACTTAACTCTTATTAACTCAATAACATGACTAACCTCACTAACTTAAGCAGTTATTATAAATACCACTTGTTGGGTTTTACTATGAAGATTTTACTGAGGTTGCTTGGAAGACGGGGGTGAATGATTAATCAGGTAATTTATTATTATAGTATATTTTATGAAACTTGTTACTAATTCATTATTTTTTATAGGGTAAACGACAACTTCAACCCAAGTGGTAAACTCTCAAGTTGCTCATGAGTGAGAACAATCATTTCATCTACTAATTATGCTGTCCGTCCGTCCGTCTTGTCACCAAAGAAGATGCCTACTGTGATCTATTGAATAGTTAAGTGCTTAGATGTTAATGAAATAATGAATAAATATATTGCATTTGATTTAATTTTGTTGTTTTAATTCATTATGAGCCACTTTACGGCCAATTACATTATGCTGTAACGTAAGTTACAAAAATATTTCAACATGTCTAAATTTTAAAAATTTTTTTGTGTTATTAATAGGGATACTTATTGAATGCACTTTTTAGTGTAGACAATTGTGTAGAACAGCTTCTTTACTGTTTGGGTGTTTGCAACCATCTTGCCGCATCTTGGTTAAGCTCTTTATACCTTTGCTTTGACTCGGTAGAACTCTGCGTCATTGCTTTGACTCGGTAGAAACGCGTTGATAATAGACTTTGTTTTTTTGCAAACCCCTATGTTAGTCGAGTGCCTTAAACATTTAATACGCCAGACGACCGATGTTTCCTCTTATTTAAATATTTTACTTTCTATTATTTCTTTAAATGGTGCACTCTTTTTCTTAGCTATAAATATCACTTAATTTAATGTCATACTGTGTTATTATTAATATATATACTATAACATATATATATATATATATAATACAATTAGACAAATATTAATGTATTTTAGTCATTTTCATTACTGCAGTTGTAATAATAAATTAATATAATTGTATTATAAATACTGTGTTACATTAAGAGTTTTGAATAAAACTAACTGAACTTTATTTGGAGTGTTTCATTTCACACCATTTTCAGTGATATATATTAGAAACACACCGTACAGGTACAGATATTTAAACTGATAAGCTAATGTTCCATAAACATTAATATACTCATTAATTCGTTCTTCGGAAAGGATTTAATATTTTGAATAAATTTCATATATTATAATTTTTGTTCTAATTATATCATGATCAATAAAGTTAATGTAGTTATAACTTTGGTCATTTTAAATAGACTAATCTATGGTTTTTCACTCATTTTAAACATGTCAAAAATATTAACATTTTTCAATCACTTTAATCTATATTTAACCCATCTATAGTTGAAATACTAAACCTTATGGTACAAGAAGATTGAAACGACAATGGCCTTTAGACTTAATCTTAGATTAGGTCTAATATAATATTATTATAGTAATTGTTAAACTAAGAAGATCTCATTGGAGCTATTCTTAGGCATTGCTCTTAAGCATTGTCATTTTAGCTCAAAGGAATCTATGTATTTCTGATTGCTAAATAAAACGAGTTAAAAAAAAAACTTTATACTATTATTTAACTTCTTAACTTACAATTTAGATTCCAAAATGTCGGCCCAAAGTTGTTCAAGCTGGCGCGGCGTTGTGACTATTTTCTCTCATAGTGCACGGTTTATCACAAAAATAAATATAATTTTGTGTTTTATAGTTTCGTATAAAAAAATATTTTATAACTTGCATTCACCATGCCCGAAATGCGAAGTATTTGCTTCTTTCCCGAATATCGTACATGGGTTATGCCCGTAATATTCACTTTTGGCCTGCATCGCTCGCGGCTGCTCGTCATTTTAAGTTAAGGGGTTAAAGTCTTAATTAGTTCATTTTAATTAATATACTTTGAATATTGGTCAGTTTTACTTAACTATAACTTATAAAAAAAATTACTTAACTATAACTTATAAAAAAAAATTACTTAACTATAACTTATAAAAAAGAATTAAGTTCTCAGTCTCGTGATATTTTCTTCTTTTGCTCAAGAATATCTTCTTCATATTAATATATCCTCATTTTTATGCGCGTAATTATTACACTAAATACATTAATATTCCTACCATATTGACGCAACCATCTCCTACCTTACTTTACACTACCCTAGCTTAACTTTACACTACCTTAACCTAATACTTACCTACCTTAAGAACTAATACTATTACTTTGCTTACCTTTACCACGTCTCGAACCTGCTACCCTCTTCTCTCCAGCGACTCCCACCTCCTAACGCGCGACGCCACGACGATCACATTAGTAAACCGTTGCAAAGTAGATGATATTGTATATTTTAAACGAAAAAAAACTAACAGGTCATATGGCCAAAAAAAAGTTGATTTTGTGTGGCCTGTGTTGCGTAATGATAGATTGATGGCATCGTACCTTAAAGGTACCGAGTTCGAATCATCCTCAGGACAAAAAAAGAGTATTGTTCACGTTGTGGTATTTATTTAGTGTTGAATAACACAAAATAATATTTAGATATAACAAACTACAAGTCATGAGGCCGAAAGAAAGGCAGAATCAATGTGGTCTGTGTGGCGTATTGGTAGAACGATGGGTTCGTACCCAAAGAGTGCCGAGTTCGAACCATACCTCGGGACAAAAATGGAAAGCGTGTTTGATTATTTATTGTAAGATAGCACAAATATACAATTTGGATTTAATAAACTAACAGATCATGAGGCCGAAAAAAAAGCAGAATCGATGTGGCCTGTGTTGGCGTATTGCTAGCGTGCTAGCTTCATGCCAACAGGGTACCGAGTTCGATTCATACCTCCGGACACAAAACGCAAAATAGCGTGACTGTTGACGCTGTGGAACGAGGTATGCACGGAATCACATCCGTTCGAATTTGAGACCCCAGGTATGCTCCCCTCGATCTCGATTGAGAGGAGAGAGAATACGCGCGAGAATCACGTATCATCCCCTAATGAACCCCGCAGCAGCCCCGAAAAGGGGCGAGGGGGGATTATAGGGGGGGGTGGGGTTCGCGAACCCGCGACCCTGCGGGTCCGCCCTCGAAAAAGGGAGAGGGGGGACTATAGGGGGGTGAGGGTTCCGCGCGACGACCACCACTGGGTCGCGCCGGTTGAAAAGCTGGGTGCGTCACAGGTTGGGTCGGTGTGCGAGTCCCCGGAGCACCCTCGAGAGCGATGATGGGGATGTGGGTGAGGAGGAAAATGCGGTGACGAGGAAAAAAAGGGGTGGAAAGATATGAGGAGGGAGAGATAGG